AGAAAGAAAAACTACACAAAACAAAAATCTATATAATACAAAGAAATAGTAAACAAGTATACTCAACCACGGTTAACGTCAAAAAAAGATAGTATGGTTATGACTTCATATTAGTCACCCAACTACCTCATGTAACTGCTATACCTACAATATACCAATATATCCCACCCAAACACTTATTTTCACACAAAGTAGCCCACACTTTTAGCAACTTGCAAGACACTATCTGGAACAAATTCTTACAACTCATACCAAAAAGAACTTATAAAGCTACCATATTTATTAAAACCTACTGACACAATCAGACAACACACCTAACTGCAACGATCACCCTTGACAATGAAGAACCTTTTATTACAATAAAAAACAAAACCTGGCCCATACCACAAAAGATTGCACTTACTGCAATCCTAATCTGTCTTGCAATCTTACCAAGTAAAACCACACTAACTATCTATACTAACTCCAAATACCTAAAACAAACAAGTCTAGATCAAATTACCATACCAATCAACAACCGAAAAGTAACTTTGCCACATACCTACAGAGCATAAATACTCTGATACTCATCAAATTTACAACAATAAAGATCGAACCAATAATAGCAAAACAAACAACTACTATTCTACTGATCTTCACTAAATTCAATCCATCAAAGATATCATCTAACACCTTCACTTCACACCTAATATCTCACAACCTACCACATTCAATAAAAAGAACAATAAAGAATATACATAAAGCAAAGAGAATAAACTTCTAGATACACCAAAAACAGATTCAATCATAGTTCAAACACAACCTAGATATAAATTGGCAACTAATCTACAAATGCATAAACTTTGAAAATAAACCACTAGCCAGAACTACTTGCCCAACAAAAGCAAAAATCAGATTCTTCAAGATTAAGTTACTAACTAACGAACTACCAACACTCCTTAATCTGTATAACAGACACCCCAACAGACACAACTTAGCGATATGCTCATGATGTCACAACAACAATATAGAAAACTCAGTATACTGGCTAACCTGTAATGCAAACACAACAACAATCTAACAAATCATATAAGATATTATAAAAGAAATAGACCCACAGCAAGGCAATAATACCTACCAACACCTTGCAGCTAACTTTATAAACAAACACATAAATGAACAAATTCCTATTGGGGTCATAACCATAGATACTCTATTCCCAATAAGCCAAAATACATCAACAACTAACAACACTACTAGGCTCCACCCCTTCCCAAACCCTAATCCTAAATACTAACACTAACATGAAAGTTTTGTGTTGAAAATTTTTGTATTCAAAACTCAGAAAATCTAAAAACATAATACAAAACCACCATAGGGTGCGTTTTATAAAAAATGAAATCTTTTAGTCATTCGAAATTGAATTTGCTGCCGTCCGTAGATCATTCGGCGTTTGTTTACCCATACAGATCATTCACGTGATGATTCCAAAAAAAATTTATTAACGTTAAACGTTAAATCATCAGAAGTTTAAATGGCATCAACGGCAAAAAAATTAGCAACTCTATCTAAAACCGCTAAACTTATCATTGACCTTCGTACAGGTTTAGGTGCAGCTAAAGTGGATCCTGATGTTAAAAAAGTTTCTTTAGTTTTTTCTAGGAAACAAGATAATGCTGGTGCAAGGTAAATAAATTCTATATAAACGATTCTATTATATATATTTATTTATTTATTAATGTAATATATTTAAATTTTTAGATATTTTTTGAGAGAAAACTTACCAAGAATAGCTTTTAATAATCCTGATCTTAATATTGAAGTTTCAATATCTAAAGAGTATGGTGTTAAACCGATTCTGACTGTTGAATTTGGTAAATATATGTATTTTTTTTTAATTTTTATGTCTACAATTATTACCTAACTAAATTTGTAATGTTTGAAAGGACACGACGATAAAAAGGAAGCAATAATTCAACTCTCACAACGATATTCTGATGATATTTGCCGTGAATTCTTGGATGTCACAAAAGCAACTCCAACAATGCTAATTCAAAAAGATCCTAGCGTTTAAAATTCAATTTTAAATTAGTTTATGAGCTTACAATAAAATAAGAATAATTTACTTAGTGTATAATTTTAATTATGACTATTCAAATTTTTTAGAGTGATAAATATTCTTATTTCGATGATTGAATTGAATCTAAATCTTCAAAGCAGCAACGATCTCCGCAAGTTCATAGATTCCGACTCTGTCATAACTGAGAGTTCATGCGAGTTTATTTGAGTAAGCTGATTAGAAAATGAAAAATATTATATAAGCATCTTTCACTAATTACACCAATCATAGTGAGAATGTTTGACTCAAAGTATCGGTGACTGAATTTTATGCAATCGAATTAACGATGTATTACTAATATATCAGTGATTGTGCCTTCAAGATCATAAATGTAGGTTACACATTCCTTCTCCCTAAATCAACAAATTCTTTACCGTTACTTGTTCATGTTTCATAGTAATCTTTCTGACTTTGTTATTTAAAATTGGCTGGTTTGGAAATCGAGAAATTATTAGTTGTTGTTCTAGTATAGTAACTATCGGCGTAATCACTTTAACTCTTGTAATCGGCTTGCTTTTTTTTTGTAAGGTTATTACCAGTTCAAAATTTTACATATTTTGTAGGCTTTTATTTTGTTATTTCAAAAAACTTATGCATTTAAAATTATATATCTAGGACACGAAACGACGCTGCATGAGAATAATCATATCAATAAATCGTTAATTTTATCTTTTATATTAAGAATTTTTTTTTTGCATTTTACTTACTATAACGAAATATATACTGTACATTTATGGAATAATATAGTTAATTTGAACCAAAATTCTTTATTAACTTTAACTGTTTTATCTGATATATTAATAACTTTATTAAATATTACGTATATGTTTATATACTGTAGCTAAACCAACGAGATTTCAAACTGAAAGATTTAAAATTTTTAAAATTTTATGTTTTTTAAATCTAAAAAAAATCAATATAATATATACCGTATAAACGCGAAATAGCGTCCACCTACACGTTAATTAATTGACCTGCGCGTTATTTCAGGTACTTCCATGTGCGTTATTTGAAATGAAGGTTGATTTCTGAATCCAACATATCGTTTATCATACCAGTTATATTGGGGAATGCGCTATTTGAGACGCTAATTCGGGACAAAGTATACTATTTTGAATGACCCGATTTTCAAAATAACGCCCAAGAGCGTTATTTCGCGCGTATACGGCAATGTAAGTTGCTTATTCTTTGAATAATTTATATTATCATATACTGTATATTTAAATTAATATTTAAAAATTTATTAGATTCAAATTGTAGGTATTACTTAAATCATTAAAATCAGCTGCCAAGTGAAATGTTGCCAAATTAGTAATGTTTTGAAACATACTGTATATAAAAAAAAAAAATTTTTGAAGTTCGATTTTTCTTTTTTTTTTTTTTTTTTTTTTAAAAAGAGGTCATTTCCTCGTTCCTTTATTTCATGTTAATATATGATTTACAATTTCTTATAAATGATACATTGATCTTTTGTGGAAGGTGGAATAGAGCTAAAGCTATGCTAATTTACTCCAGACCTAAATTTTAGCTAGATAGGTTGATAACCTCTAGACTGTGTTATTTATTTGTATTGGGGAGTGATTGTGTTCTATATAGTTAGTTAACCATCTATTGTAATTTAGTTGTTGTTTAGAGGTATTGTTTAGATTATTGTTATTATGATTTTGTGCTATTGTAGGTGTTTGGTTTAGGTTCAGGTGGTTTTGTATAAGTGATTTCTGTGTTGTGTTATTGTGATCGTGTATACTTATTCTTGATAGAATTTATATTTGGTTGTAAATTTTTTTTATTATGAAGTGGTGAAGCTTAGTAGTGTTGTTAGTTGTTGATGTATTTTGGCTTATCAGGAATAGAGTATTTATGGTTATGACCCCGATAGGAATTTGTTCGTTTATGTGTTTATTTATAAAGTTAGCTATAAGGCGTTGGTAGGTATTATTGCCTCGCTGTGGGTCTATTTCTTTTATAACATCTTGTATAATTTGTTAGATTGTTGTTGTGTTTGCATTATAGGTTAGCCAGTGTACTGAGTCTTCTATGTTGTTGTTGTGACATCATGGGCATATCGCTAAGTTGTGTTTGTTGGGGTGTCTGTTATGCAGATTAAGGAGTATTAGTAGTTCATCAGTTAGTAACTTAATTTTGAAGAATCTGATTTTTGCTTTTGTTAGGCAAGTTGTTCTGGCCAGTAGTTTATCTTCAAAGTTTATATATTTATAGGTTAGTTGACAATTTATATCTGGGTTGTGTTTGAATCATGATTGAATCTGTTTTTGGTGTATTCAGGAGTTTATTCTCTTTGCTCTATATATATTCTTTATTGTTCTTTTTATTGGGTGTGATAGGTTGTGAGATATTAGGTATAGAGTGAAAGTGTTAGATAATATCTTTAATGGATTGAATTTAGTGAAGATTAGTAAAATAGTAGTTGTTTGGAAACAAACAAGAGTAAAAATAGAACTCTTCCCACAGATCACTTTACCAAAATAGGAACAAGAAGAAAAAATTTTCCTGCAGCGATATCTCTAAAATTTACTAAGTAACTTAAGTCTTGGCTCCTAAATAAAGTTATCCAGCACTTCCTAATCTATCTAAAAGAGGTGCAACTTTGGAAAAAGAACAACTTATTTATGAGAAAAGGACAAAAAACACTAAAATCGACCAGAAAATGACTTTTTCATCATCCCGCAAAAGCGGTCCTAAGGACCACACATACTCTACTAATACAAATCAAACTATTAGCCCTACTTTACTTAAAAACAACATCAAGCAAAGATTACTAAGCTCTCCTCAGCCCAAACACAATCCAAAACTATGGCCTCCGAAAGCTCCACCTTCACCAGAGGAATTTTTTCTTACTGGCACAGGCCAGCAGAACAAAAAGAGACCCCCCATCGAGACAATGCCTACGTCTCCAGCTTTAGAACACACTAAAAAATTTGTCAACATTACTATCAGAGACTAGACTAAACTTACCTTTACGTCAACTTCTCCATTCAAAAGTACGCTGACAACTTCCTCTTCTATAGTGATATTACCAAATCTGGCAAGATCCCCAACCTAGTCGATTAACCTTCCCAATGGTATGTGAATACGAGGACCCAAGCCAATCAGTTTTCCTTGATCTATCTTTATCTAAAAACAACATAGTTGACATTAATGCCAAGCAGCTAAAACCTGTACACAATGTTGATATGACAACGATTACAAAAAC